CCCCAAAACCCCAAAACCCCAAAACCCCAAAACCCCATAGATTATTAATAATTGAAATTTTGGAACTGCGAAATTTATTAATTTAAACAGAATTTATTCATCATTCTAATCTCTTCTTGCTTCCTTGTATTTGAGCTCTGTACTCTGGGATCGTGCAGTCGGCTTGGATGAGACCTCTTTGGCATATAAGAAAAACTACTGGAGAGATAAATAGCAATAACCATAGAGTTGGGATCAACTTTACTTCAATCCAGAATGCAGTGAAGATCAACAAGATCAATAAAATGGTCAACTATATTGATAATGAAATTAATCTGTCGACTTACGATAAATAATGTGCCTGTGAAAGTGAGTTTGGAGAGGTTTGCCTTATTTCCGAGTAAATACAGTACATATTGACCAAAGACGGCAGTAATGAGACTAAGACCAATCAATGGAAGCTAAAGCTCAATTAAATAAATAGTAACTTACGAAAAGACTTCTTTCTGGCTGTATCTCTGGGAAAATGTGAACAATGACCTTATCTGGTTGGTAGATATCCTTGAGCCCTAGGTTGTTGCCTTCTTCCAGTCCTTGCTTGAACCAAACATTAAGAGTACCAAGGTCCCAGACTTCATTTCTTTGAGCTCTGAAATCAGAGGCATGTAGTTCAACTTAGTATTCACCATTTAAGTGTTCCATACCCTTAGTAAAATCAAATGTCAAGTGATAGAGACCAGTCTTAACATTCAACTTAGCATAGGCTTGGTAAGATAAATGATCTGCAGCTCCTTTCTTTTAAAGTCTAAGGTAGATCTATTGAGGATTTCCTCCTTCCGATTGTTGGAATAGAGCACTGACGCCCACATGAAGGAAGTTTCCATCTTGAGCATTTTTAATGTCATTAGGGAATTGCTTTGGATGAATGATTGAGTTTTCGAGAGCATCTGGGAATGTCTTTGATTAAGTTATTTTCCAATAGACAGTGTTTAATTGGATTCTATCAACGAGAGTAATGATTTTATTGTATCTAAGGCCATCAAGTTCTACAACTACTCTGAATTTTCCAACCTTATCCTCTTATAGTGAAACAGTCACTTGATTATTGTCTGCATTAGCTTTTGATGGAACATCTCTTGGGGATTGCTTTTCATCTATTTATTCGAGAATAACTTTAATTGTCTTTACGCCTTAGAATGGAGTCCCGAAGTTGTCCAAAATATTGAACTTTAGTTGTTGAGATTTACTTGATAGACTGATTCTTGGTTCTCCGTCATGCTCAATGTTTGGTACATCTGAAAGTGTTTTCAATCCTCTTAGTGAAACAAGTAATTGATGAGCGCTAGAGGCACCCTTTGATCTCATTAAAAAGTAGTTTCTAAGTCCTCTCTTCTCCTCAGGCTTTAGGAAGGTTTATCCTAGTCTTACGAATGCGAGGTTCAAGTCCTCATTTGTATATACATCTTGTTGATAACGAGCAGTTGAACTCAATACGTAGTATTATTGCTCATTATCACTGGTTGCTTAAGTTACTGCTTGCTTCTACAACTTCAAGAATGATGCATCGAGAGTTGCAAGATATTCAGTTTATTGACTTAATAGATCTACTGCTCTTATGCTGTTTACTGAAACACCTTCAATCTTTCCATCAGCACCTTTATAGGCCCAATTATTATTATTGAAATTTTTGGAGACTTCTTTCTTGAGAGTGCTGAGGACATTTTTATTGTAAGCTTCACTCGCAGTGAACCCGTACTTCTGGGAGTCAGTATTCAGCAGATGGCCAAAGTAGAGTTCTGAGACTGATGTGCCAGCATTGTTCCCACTCAGATAATTCTAGATGGCTAGTGAGTGGGTTGATAAGAAGTCACAACTATAAATGCGATTGATTTCTGCTAAGTGGTATAGCAATTCAGGATCAGCTGAAGATTAAGTAAGTTTTTATTGCACTTTATTCAATCCTTTGCACACGTTTCCGTTGTTTCCAGCTTTACCTAAGATCTCTAAGGCTTAGCTTGCTTCTGCTAATACTCTAACATCTCTGCTCAAATTAGTGAATGATCCTGAGAGGACTTATTTGATCTAGTCATTGGCTAATTACCTTAATGCTTCCTTATTCTAAATTTAACATTAGCGATTGTTTACAGGCATACAAGGCATATCAATTATATATCTTTAACATAGACTTCGATATTGCTTTATTTTCATCTGAGTGTGGGTCTTATATTCAACTTACCTGATGAGAGAGGTGAGCATTGCTGAGGCTAAATAGCGAAACTCCAAGGAGCAAGCTAACAATGCAGAATTTCTACAAGAAATATGACATATTAATGATTATAAAGATATATATTTAATTCTTTATACTACTCTAATACTCAACACCCTCTTTTCAATAATTCCTTAACTTCTCCACTGATTTGCTCTGTTCACTTTTTCTGAATCAGGGGTTTTGGGGTTTTGGGGAGATCGGAAGAGCACAC